CCTTGTCAGGGATGCCATGGCTGTGGGGTTGTCAGCATTGCCTTGGTGCATGCATGGCACCAAGGCCTGAGTGCATGGCCTCCCACACATGACTTGAGTTTTTTTTACTATGGAACTCTCTTCTGGGCTCTTTCTCTCTGGGGAGCACAAGCCCTGGGACTGTTCACATGGCACTACTGGAATTTGAACTTAAGTTCTGAGTCATTTCCCAAGTCATTTCCTATTCCTATGATTCTGAGGCAGTTTCTGAGGGTTCTTACTAGATCTATTAGGTTGTATTATTCATTATAAAAGATTTACAAAATTTAAAGGAGTTGGAGAGATGGGAAAATAATTCAGGATTTAGGGCACAGGCATTGCACAAGCCTGATCTGTATTGAATTCCTGGCACCACACAGACCTCCATTTATCACCAAGTGCAGCATTGGAGAACCCTAAGTACCACTGACATGACCCTGGTGTGGTCAGGGTAATCCCCGAATCACAGCGCCTGAGTAGCATCACATTCTCAGGCCACTATATGGAACTATTGGCCTAACTGACTAAGATACACTGAAAGTAGCTCCTGGACCTCCACTGTTTGGAAAACCTTAGGGGGGAAAAAAGAGGAGATAGCTTTTGTTCCAGGGTAACTAAAGTCAGCTGTGAAACATAGTAACACCATTCAACAAAACCCAATGTCCCACAACTTCCCTTACTTGGTATATGCACCCAGGAAACTCATCTTCAATGAGATCCCAACTCTATTGCAGTGGTCTCTAAACTGGTGTCCTTTTGCCAATTCTAGACCCCTTCCAACTAATGCTCAGAACCCCAGACATGCCATACAAATATAAGATATACCTTCCATCTTCTCAAAACCTGTAATGGTTCCCATCACATCACAGGGGATTCAGCATCCTCTCTCCAAAGCCCTTTCTTGTTTAGCTCCAGATACTTTCCTGATTACGCCTCACGCCAACCTCCTTTTCTCTCACTCCTCACCAACTGCACTTGCTTCCTCAAACACACCAAGAATGCCCTTGCTCCTGAACTGTGACCTTCTCTCTGAGCCATGTTCTGCTCTGTGTATTTTTATTTAAGTGTCTGCTCAAAAGTCACATTATCACATAAATTTTATCTAATCTTTATTTTTGGAGGGAGTGGTGGGGTTACACCCAGCAGTGATCAGAGGCTCTTCCATGTTCTGTGTTCAGGGGTCACTCTTGGTGGTGTGGTGGTGTTAAGGGGACCATTGGTTGCTGGGGTTTAGAACTGGGGTTGACCACATTCAGAGCAAGTACCTTACGTCCTTTACTGTCTCTGACCTTTCTCTGACCTCTGTTTTGAAAAATAATCAATCTAGGGGCCCAGTGAGATAGTACAGTGGGTAAGACTCTTGCCTTGCATGCAGCTGACATGAGTTCAATACCCAGCACCACATGTGGTCTACCATCCCTGGCAGGAGTAATCCCTGGGAAGAGAGACAGGAGTAAACCTTGAACGCCACTGGGTATGGCAATAAATAAATAAATCACTTGATCATTTGACTTCCCGTTAATCATCAATTTGCTTGAGCGGGCGCCAGTAACGTCTCCATTTGTCCCTGTCGCATGCTAGTGTAGCCCAATGGGGTCTGCTCGCTCTAGGAACACAAAGAGCCTCAAACCGATCGTGCATGATCTTGATGAAGAAGTCTGACCATCTGGTAGGTGGGCGACCACACATTCTTTTGACATCCCGTGGAATCCAGTCAGTAACAGCTCTAGTCCTGCGGTTGTCTCTAAATCTCATTGCATGATCAGCCCATCTGATTTTTGACACCTTGGCAAAACGAAACAGCGTCCGTGATTCTTGACCATCAACGGAGGTCGGAACTCTGGATTCTTTCTCTCATTTGAGTGAAACGTGATATTCCAAGCATAGCTCTTTCAATCCCTCTTTGGGAGAGCCGAATAGTGTTCTCATCCTGTTTGTGTAGGGCTCAGGTCTCTGAGGCATATGTTAACGCAGGAAGAACAGTGGAATCAAAGAGATGTGCCCGGAACCAGAGGTTCTTTGTCCTTTTAGCTATTTCTTTGATGCTCTTGAAGGCGTTCCAAGCCGCTCTCTTCCTCCTGTGCAGTTCAGGTGCCAGGTCATTTGTCATGTTGACTTCTCAACCTAGGTACACATAAATGTTGCATTCGGAGATGGTCATTCCATTGAGACCGAATGGGGCATCAGGAACGAGGCTGTTTCTCATAAACATTGTCTTCGTAAGATTCAGCTGTAGTCCGACATTTCCATACTCACGGTCGAAGTTGACCAGCATTTGTGCCGCTTGGCTAATGTTTGGTGTTATTAAAACAATGTCATCAGCAAAGCGGAGGTGGTGTAGTTGCCGACCATCTATCTTCACTCCTATTCCTTCCCATTCCAGTCGTCGCATGATGTTCTCGAGGGTGGCACCGAAGAGTTTCGGTGAAATGGTATCACCCTGCCGAACCCCTCTCTTGACATCAATGATTACTTCTTTGTAGAATGGTGAGATCCTGGTAGTAATATGGCTCACGGAGGATCCTGATGTATTGAGTTTGAATGCCTTGATTGTCTAGGGCTTCAATGACCACTTCCAACTCAACAGAATCAAAGGCCTTCTTTAAATCAATGAACGTTAGACAGAGCAGCATCTTGAACTCCCGAGAAACCTCAATGAGCTTGGTTATCATGTGGATATGGTTGATGGTGCTGAATCCTTTGTGGAACCCGGCTTGCTTGCATGGTTGTCCTTCATCCAGTGTTCTGCCAATCCTATTCAGGATGACTCAAGTGAACAACTTGTGGATGACAGACAATAGGCAGATCGGGCGATAGTTGCCAGTGTCATGAATGTCTCCCTTCTTGTACAGTAGTACAGTCCTGCTGGTTTTCCATTGGGATGGAACCTTGCATTCAGACAGGTAGCGTGTGAAGAGCTGAACCAGCGTATTGATGAGTACTGATGGCAGGTTCTTCAGGTATTCAGGTCTGACCTTGTCTGGGCCCAGTGTTGTTCGTTTCTTTACTGCCGAAATGGCGTGTCAGATTTCGGAAAGAAGAACATTGGGAACGACATATCCATCCTGTGGAATTTGGTATGTCGGCAGGTGGACATGGCTATAGAAGAGATTTGAGTAGAAGTCATGGATAATCTTCTCCATTGCCCTTCTGGAAGATGTGATAGATCCATCAGGACGTCGGAGGGCAGTCATCTTGGTCTTGTAGTTGGCGAAGGACAGGCAGGCGTTACGAATACTTTCCCCGGCTTCTGCTGCATCTACCAGCACTTCTGCTCTTCTCTCTTTGAGGTCTTCCTTGACCACATCTCTGCACTGCTTTGTGAGCTCAGACGTTCGCTTGTGATTGCCTGAGGCATGCGCCAAACCATGTTGGCGAATAAGCTCAAGAGTTTTCGAAGACAGGCGTTTTTTTGTGGCTATCTCTCTCTTGGCATTCCTCGCACAATCATGGAGGTGCTGAACCAGTCAATCGTATTCCTCATCAATGTTGTCAACAATGGCATCTTCCCATGTTGCCGCAATAGTGCCAAAGAGCTCCCAGTTGGTGGTCGTTCTGGGAGTTCTCTTTTTAAACTTTGCAACCCTTTTTCCCTGCTCTGTGAAGTAGAATTTTTCATGAAGGAGACGGTGGTCTGATCCCGTTTGGAATTTTGGGACAACAGCGACATCGGTCAGGCAAAACCGTCGATTGAATATGATCTGGTCTATTTCGTTGTGGAATCGTCCACCGGGAGACTCCCATGTCCAACGTTCAGATTCGGCCTTCTGGAACTGTGAGTTACCATGGATGGTTTTGGTCGACATAATGAACTCAGACAGTCTCTCACCCTGTTCGTTCCATTCTAGGCCATGGGTCCCGATGTGAAGTTCTTCGGCTGATCTTCTCAGTCCTATCTTGGCACTAAAATCACCCACAATGATCTTGTAGAAGGTGTGGTCTTCTTTATAGAACTTCTCCAGCTCCATGTAGAACTTCTCAATTTCTCCTTCATCATAATTGGATGTTGGTGCATAGACAATGAAGACAGAAACTGCCAGCAGTGAGCCACATCTATTCAAATGTAAACGTCCAATTCAGGTTGTTAGGCATTCAAATGAATCAATGCTCATGGCCAAGTTTGTGTTGACAAGGACAATGATGCCTCCGACACCTCTTATCACATGTTCCAAGGAACAATTCTTCTCCAGTGTCGAAAACAGCATGATGAGATTGGTGCCTTCTTGTCTCGGTCAGACCAATGATGTCGTACTTGATCTTTCGTGCTTGTACCATCAGGTCCTCCATGGATGCATCTGATGCTAGCATACGTGCATTGAAAGTACAGACGATCATTTTTGTCTTCCTTCGTTGTGGCAGCCTAGTTCAGCATTGAGATTTTATCGGCCTCTCCTTTCTCATCCTTCTCAATGCTGCCATATTGGTGACACCTTCAGGGTCAGGGGAATGAGACCCATTGTAATTACTCGTTTTGGAATATCGAATACACAACAGATAGCTTGCAAGGCTCTGCTGTGCGTGCGGAATACTCTCGGTAGCTTGCCAGGCTTTCCGAGAGGCATAGAGGCTTTTGGGGCGACCTCTAATTGCCCTTGTAGGTGTTACCATATTTGAACCCTATCAAATATGATACGGTAATTCTGGAAGATGGGTATTTAGTGTCCTATAATGTGTCACGCGGCCACTTGGGTGGGTCTTCTGTGCGCAATCCAATCCCTGGGTCTCTGGTGGTTGGTGGAAGCAGACAGGGCAGGGTAGGGTGGGGCTCCTGATTTTATTCCCTTCGTCACCTGTGGTTCGTGGGAGCATGCAGAGAATCTCTGTCCCTGGGTCCATTGAGCCTGGAGTCCAAGGTCTCAGAGTTCCGCTTATCTTGTTCTGTGGGGCTTCATTTGTGCATGAGTCTCAGCCAGAGTGGCAGCGCGGGTCCGGAAATCGTCCTGGACTTTGGCAGCGGCTGGTTAGTGGAGGTAGTAGAGGAGATGAACCTTGTGGATATTGTGGTATCCAGGAACAAAGAGGACAATAAGGCCAAGCCGGTCACCGTGGCCTCTCTTCAGCCCTCGGTGCTGCCCACGGTTATCGTGCCTGAGATGTTTCTTTCTCCTCCAGTCACCTTTCAGCTGTGGGCTGGCTCTGGACCCGTGTTCCTCAGTGCCATGGAATGTTATGACACTTTAGATGTATCCTGGGAGGAGGAGGAGGAGGAGGAGGAGGAGGAGCAGGAGGAGGAGCAGGAGGAGGAGCAGGAGGAGGAAGAGGAGGCAACAGAGGAAGAAGAAGCCACGGAGGAAGAGAAGGCATCGAAGAAAGAGAAGGCAACTGAGGATGAGGAAGAGGAGGAGGAGGAGGAGGAGAAGGAGGAGGAGGAGGAAGACATCCATTTAGTCCTAGAAGAATCCCCTGTCAAACACACCAAAAGGTCAGCGCCTCAGAAGCAGAGCAGTGTGGCTAAGAAGAAAAAGGTGTGCAGTGATGAAGAAGCAGCAAGACCCAAGGAAAAGAGCCCTATGAGAAAGATCAAAACTATACTCAGGCCTAAAAAGACGGTGTTCAAATAAATAAATAAATAACCTCCCCCAAATACAAGTAGAAGTAGTCAATCTACCCTGCTATCTCTTATTTTATCCTCATCACAGAGCTTTTAAGCCTTTTAATGAGATAGTTATGCAATAAGTGCCTGTCTTCACTTCTGCTGGTCCCAAGACTATATTTGACATTGGTCATCTTCATCTTCTACCACTTATTCTTGATTTCCCTCACCCTTTACCAATACCTCAACTGGTCTGAATTGCTTTCCAGGTAAGGTGACTCAGACCTGTATCATCAAGGGATCTAAGTTATTATTTTTACCCCATGGACTGAGGTTGCTGTGGTTCCCGTTGATAGTATTACAGGGCAATGAGTTTTCAGCAAGAGATGTTCCCTTGAGTCTTTGGCCCCTATATCAACTCCTGTCTACTCTTGCTTCCTCCACTCTGTGGCAGCAACATCCATTCCTCAGAGCAATTTGAGTAAATTAATTTGAAATTTTTACAAATGTGTCACTGAGAATGATGGTCAAAAGGACTGAATTTCTTTCTACCCTTGCATTTCTGCACCAGTCTATGAAGCATTTTGAGAACATGTTGTTTCTGTGACATACTGCCTGCTGGAGGATGCAGTCTATTCTGTAGGTTGTCATTCCTAAGGTTGCAGCATAAAAGACTTTCATAGTCACTCTGTTATTCTACCAGGCTGTCTTTTGAGTAAGGAAGTACAGTGTTGGACGATCACTGTCATGGTCATAGCTCTATTGTTATACACACATACATACACACATGCATGTGTGCACTCTGTCTCACACACACAAACACACATGAATGTATGAACTCTCTCTGTCTCTCTGTCTCTCTTTCTTACACACACACAAACACACACACACACACACACCTCATCACCAAGTGGATTTCTTAGTCTAGGCTATATTGAATGGAATCTCATATCAGTAAAGAACACATTCTGTAAGTACTCGGCTAGTGGTATTGGCAATGGCAATGAGGTCAAAAAAGGCAAAAATCATATGCAAAATAAGTGTCAGATTTAGTTGTGGGTTTGAGTTTGATGTGATTATCTTGTTACTAAAGTGACTGACCAGTCTTCTTCAGAACGTTGCCTTACCTGTGCCAGTTGCACTATTGTGGGACAGATATTCAGCCATGCAGGATCTATAAGCTATGGTGAAAGAGAATCGATTATGCTATATCTGCAGGTAGTCTAAACCCCATCACCGTGGCCATGTCATTCACAAGTAAGTAAGTAAAGGCCCTCCCGTTGATCATCGATTTGCTCGAGCGGGCCCAGTAACGTCTCCATTGGAGACTTTGTTGTTACTGTGTCTGGCATATCGAATACTCTCGGTAGCTTGCCGGGCTCTGCGAGAGGGGTGGAGGAACCGAACTCGGGTCGGCCATGTTGGCTGCGTGCAAGGCAGATGCCCTACCCGCTGTGCTATCGCTCCAGTCATTCACAAACTCATTTCAAAAATAAAAGCATGAAACACAACAGACAAGTCATGTCCTGTCTACTTAGTTTCTGATGCTCTGTCATGTCCCTGTGGTGGATTTCGTAGACCAAAACAAGAGACTCCATCAGTCTTGCTGCTTATGGCTTTCCTCACAGGTATCCAGAAGTCTCTTTCACAAACTCCCATAAAGGGAAAAAAGGTAGACAATGACATTTCAAGCTGCTTAACTCCATGAACCATTCAGACAGTCTCAGAACTGTCTGTCTGCTTAAGAGGTGGGGCAGGGCAGCTCTACCAACTAGTGCTTGTCCTTATTAGCAAAGATAGACACAGAGGGTATCAGTGCTTACAGGCATGTAGTCAGTATATGCCCAGTCTAGAGAGTATAGTAGATTCACAGCTAAGCCACTATCCTCGTCTGATTGAATCTGGGGAGATCTGGATACTGCAGCAAAAGCTGGAAATAAAAGGTATGCTGAGAGGAAGTGAGGTAAGAACAAAAGGTGTCTGATACAGCTTTGAAGCCCAGAAGGTGGTGGCCATGACTATAAGAACCTACTAACAAATATTTCAGAGAATTAGGTGACATGCTATTTTTCAATGTACCACTTTTTTTGGTACTACCAACAAAGGCAAATATTGGTAACAAAGAAGAAATCAATATGGTTCCAGTGGACAGGAAAGAGACTGATGCTTAAGGCATGGAGGATGGGGAAGCTGAGGATTCTGGGCCAAGCATATCTCCATGTTAAAGATGTTGAATTGAGAATTCCCTGGAGAGAAGGGAATACAAGAACAAGAAAGAAGCTCCCAGACTTCTGAGAAGGCAGAGGGTCTCTTGGTTGAGATAGATTTTCTGTCTTCTTGCCACATGCCAGATGAACTTTATCTTTACTGGAACAGATAATAGCACTTTACATGAACATGCTTTGGAGCGAGACTGATAATGCTTTGAATCCTAGTTCAGTGCTGGCACATTCCTTCACTGCCTCAATCGTATTTTCTCACCAAACAGAGGTCATAATGGCACCTATTTCTTCTAATGGTTATTATGTTAATTGATTTTAAATGGTGCCTGACTCATAACAAGATCTCTTAAACATTAGATATTATTATTATTAGCTAGATTACAAACAATGATTTTTTAACATCCAAAGAAAATCCAGTTAGAACAAAATACTAGGAAAATGAAGTATTTGGGATGTTAAAAGAAAACAGATAAACCCTATTTCCACAAACACAGAGTAAAGGAATTGAAGGAAAGTTTGGCAAATATGTTCACTCTTCTGCAAAAAGTCTGAAGCTTCTCAGAGTTAGTCAGCTGAAACTACTTTTAGGTCCAGTGAAAAGAAAACAACAGAAACAAGAAAAATGTTGACATTATCAGAAAGAGGAGTGGCAAAATAAAAAGAATACCCTGTTGGTAGACTCGTCTCCTGTTGGAATCTATAGCACATATGGATAGTTTGGGCCTTTTCTCATTTCTCCAGCGTACGGATGGATTAGCCAGGCAAATGCAATCTGTCTCCACACTAGAGAGAGAGTATTTCTATGCAGTCCAGGCTGCAGCTGTCACAGATGACCCCACACATCCTGGGATTACAATGGTTTGTTGCAGCCAGAAAAATTGAGGGTGGGGGTGGAAGTTCTACCTGAGCTGTCTACAGTCTTCTTTTATACTACTCATGTATTATATGAACAGAGAAACTGCATTGAATGTTCCAAGCACTGAACAAGGTTGAGAGAATATCAAAGTATTTGGACATTGGTTTGACAAGTCATCTAGAATATCATGGTTTCCTTTTTGGTCTTCTGCCTTCAAGGTGCACTTGTCCAATGCTCAAGTTCTTAGGGATTCTGTCTTGACAATTAGCATGAAGACATAAATGACCTTTGGTGATCATTAGCTCCTTAATCATCATCTGCCTTCCTTTTATTCTCTAGCAGATCCTGACCCACTTCATTTTTGTGTTATAAAAAACTTCCATTATTTTCTAAGTTCAAAGTGACTTCTTCAAGGGTTTTTTTTCTAATAAAAGTCATACTTGCTTATTAGGAAAAAAAAACAGAGAGCTCAGAATAGTATAAAGAAAAAAGTTTCCCTTTTTACTTTCCCAAGAACCACCCTCATCTTACTCCCTGAAAGTGCACCATTGAAGACAGCAAGTGTAAAGGCTTCTAGACTTCACTTTTTTTGATGTGACCAGGTGCAACTTGCCAGTTTTTTTAAAAATTTTTTATTAGTGAAACTCCATGTGGTACAGTTGTTGACCTTACAAATTTTTGTGCTTGTGTTTCAGTTACACAATGATTGAGTACCCATCCCTCCACTGATGCCCATTCCCCAACTGCAATGCTCCCAGCATCCCTCTCACCACCCCCCAACTCCCCCATCCCACCATACCCCTGTGTCAGGGCATTCCCTTTTGCTCTCTTTATCCTTTTGGGTGCTGTGGTTTGCAAAAGAGGCATTGAGTGGCTATCATGTTCCCATAGTCTATTTTCAGCATGCATCTCTCATCCTGGGAGGGTCCTCCCAACACCCTTTACTTGGTGCCCCCCTCTCTATCTGAGCTGCCTTCTCCCTCAGCATGTGCAGCTGGCCTCCAAACCATGGAGTGAACCTCCTGATAATTATCTCGGTTATTTTTGGGTGTTAGTCTCCCAATTTGTTACTTTATATTCCCCAGATGAATGCAATTTTTCTATGTCTGTCCCTCTCTTTCTGACTCATTTCGCTTAGCATGATAATTTCCATGTAGTACCACATGTAGATAAATTTCATGGCTTCATCTTTTCTAACAGCTACATAGGACTCCACTGTGTAGATGTACCAGAGTTTCTTTAACCAGTCATCTGTTCTTGGGCACTCAGGTTTTTTTCAGATTTTGGCTATTGTGAATAGTGCAGCAATGAACATAGAAATGCAAATGTCATTTCGACTGTACTTTTTTCCCTTGCCGGGATATATTCCCAGTAGTGGTATTGCTGGGTCAAATGGGAGCTCAATTTCTAATTTTTTTGAGAATCGTCCACACTGTTTTCCAAAAAGGCTGAACCAGTCAGCATTCCCACCAGCAGTGAAGGAGAGTCCCTTTCTCACCACATCCACGTCAACACAGGTTGCTTTTGTTCTTTTGGATGTGGGCCAGTCTCTGTGGTGTGAGATGATATCTCATTGTTGTTTTGATCTGCATCTCCCTGATGATTAGTGATGTAGATCATTTTCTCATGTGCCTTTTAGCCATTCATATTTCTTCTTTGGGAAAGTTTCTTTCATTTCATCACCCCATTTTTTGATGGGGTTAGATGTTTTCTTCTTGTAGAGTTCAACCAGTGCTTTTTATGTCCTTGATATCAACCCTTTATCAGATGGGTATTGGGTAAATATCCTTTCCCACTTGTAGATTGTCTTTGTATTCTGGTTATTGTATCTTTTGAGGTGCAGAAGCTTCTTGATTTAAGACTGTCCCATTTGTTTATCTCTATTTCCACTTGGTTGGTCAGTGAAGTGTCGTCTTTGAAGATACCATTAGCCTCAATATCCTAGAGGGT